GTTTCCTTGGAAGGAATATGGGTTTATCATTTATGTTCTTATGTCAACTTTGTCTATTTTAGTTGTTCTTTGCATATTGCATTTATAAAATGGATGGCATACTTGGAGGAACATCTCATGCTTCTAATATCCCATGGACATTGTGAGTAATATATATGCTGTTATCAGGTCTCACAGTTTCTTGCTCGACAAAAGCATTCAAAGAAATATATTCTCGTCCATTGCACCCATGGGCACAATCGCACTGGGTATATGATTGTCCATTTTCTAATGCGAACTCTACCAATTTCTGTCTCTCAGGTCAGCTGTCTTTATCGTTTCCTCCTGTTTTCATGAAACAATCAATGTGTTGTGTAATTATCTTCCTTGCTCTCCATGCAGGCAATCAAAATATTTGCTGATGCACGTCCTCCGGGGATATACAAGCCAGACTATATTGATGCCTTGTACAACTTTTATCATGAGAAGAAGCCTGAAATGGTCGTTTGCCCTCCAACTCCGGAGTGGAAAAGATCTTCTGAACTTGATCTGAATGGTGATGCAATGCCAGATGACGACGACGATGATGGAGGCTCCGCAGCTCCTCTGCGGGTACGTTCTCCTTTTGCAATGATTCTTTGTGATTCTTGCTGCACAACAATGAAGGGAAGTTTTGAATGATCGACTACAATTGTTAAAAGCTAAAGTTGCTTCCTTGGAGATTTTTTTATCATGATTCCCTTGCAAACTTTTTCACACGAGCATTTGTACAAGTCTTCTTTCGTTTACTTCTGACTTCCGTTGCTTCAGGAGAGTCATGAAACCCAGTTAGTAATGACAAATGATGACATTTTGGGAGATGATATCCCTATAGATCAACAAGGAACCCTGCAGCAGTTCTGCTATCAGTCACTGAAGTTGTCTGGATGGGTAGGAACTTGAATGGCTTTTCTTCTTAATTTCTGTGTGCTAATCTATTCCATCTAAAGATATATCGGATATAGGATTTCTTTTCAGTTGTTTGTTATATTGTACCATCATCATTTCTTAGGCTGGAATTACTTTATTTTCAAATTTGTGGTAAATTGGTCCAATTTAGAAATAATTTTTACAGTTATATATATGGCACTATTGATCTTTTTTTTGTTGATTCCTTGTTTAATTTTCAGGGAAGAGGAACCCAACAATTCCCTGGATCACATCCAGTCTCTCTTAACAGGTCTTGATCTTCCTCTTCATTTTATTGCGGAAATGAGTGGCTTTGTTCTACATATTTAACTGATAAAGTTGAGTTTGTCTTGCTCTTAGAAATTCATATTAATGTTA